TCTGATTTTGAGTTTCACTTTCTTATAGTTATTCATTTTCCTGGTCCCTTACTTAAGTTTTCTAGATTCCTGCTATGAGTGAGACCATCCAGTATTTTTCTTTTTCTTTCTGGCTTATTTCGCTGAGCATGATCCCTTCCAGCGCCATGGAATATTACTCAGCATTCAAAAAAGATAAACACATGCAATTTGCAGCAACATGGATGGCGCTGGAAGGGACAGTTCCACTCCTAGGTATTTACCCAAAGGACACAGAAACATCAATTCCAAAGAGCACCTGCACTCCTATGTTTATAGCAGCACTGTTTACAATAGCTAAGCTTTGGAAACAACCCAAATGCCCAAAATAGATAACTGGATCAAGAAGATGTGGTACATATACATCATAAATTATTACTCAGCATTCAAAAAAGATAAACACATGCAATTTGCAGCAACATGGATGGCGCTGGAAGGGATCATGCTCAGCGAAATAAGCCAAAAAGAAAAAGAAAAATACCGGATGGTCTCACTCATAGCAGGAATCTAGAAAACTTAAATAAGGGACCAGGAAAATGAATATAAGAAAGTGAAAATCAAAATCAACAAAAAACTATGAACCAGAGACACTTTTTGGGGGGTGGGGGGCGGGAGGGGAAGGATTGGGGTCAGAATGGGGCGTTTGCAATTGTATGGGGGAATATAAAAATAAAATTTAATATTTAAAAAAATAAATAAATAAATAAATAAATAAATAGTGAAAAAATGTGGGCACAGGAGTTTAAAAGAGCTGGGTTTGAATTGTGGCTCTACTACCATTTACTCTTTTAAACTATCTGAGCCCAAGCTGCATAAGGGGATTCATGGAAAACACACAAAATCTCTTTGCAGGGACATTCTGAGGATGGAGAATTATCTATTTTAAAGTGTCTCGCATAGGGCAGGTAGCCTATTCCAGATATTATATGAATGTTCTCTCAGATGTTACTATCTGGCTGTGTTGAAGAATTCATGTTCATGCATATTTTTTAAATAAAAGAGGTAAGGAATTTTTTCTCTATCTCACTGCTTTGGAAAAAAATTATTTGGTATTATAAAATTATTCTTAAAAGTAATAGTCACTGAATGATTTATAGTTTATAAAATATCTTTCTGATTTAGGACTGCAATCTAAATATATTCTACAAATTAGCTATTGCATTGCTTTATTACTTCAATCATTATTCTTTTAACACATTTTACCACAATACTTAATAATAAATTACAAATATTAAGAAGGCTATCAAAAAAAATTAAATGTGTTACTGTCAAAGGCCTACATTTTGAGAAATACTTGACAGCTGAAGTTGGCCAGAAGAAATTGAGCAATGGATTACAGATTCTCGGCCTCAGTAGTAGATCTTGGATATGAAGTCTTTCTCTGGGAAGGCTTTGACAAATGTCATTTATGAAAGTGGTTTCTTAATTTCTATTTGACTTCTCAAGTACTGTTTAAAGTATTAGCAAGGTTAGTTGTTCTGATTCAGGTTAAAATTCAAATGAAAAAATGTGGTAGGTAGTTTCCGGAACTTACATAAACAGAACAAAAAAAAGTGTAACTTTCTTACATTTAAATACATGCATTAGGTCATATGCTGAGATTAATAACTTATAAACTAAACTCAGTAGGAATGCAATTAAACACCAAGAAATGGAAACTGAGCTGTTTTTAACCAACATAATAACTGCACCACATACTAAATAAGTCATCAAATACTCTTCCCTTCACACCTGCAAGGTCTAAAGCAGACATCAGTCACAACTTCAAGTACTATTCACTTCTTTGAAAAACTTTAGAGGAAACTGTTTCAAGAGACAACAGGTTGGAACACACGAGGCCTCTGCGGTATTCCAGGTACTATGGAAAAGCACATGAACTTTCAGAACTATGTATTCAAGGCTAGTCTTACTCCTAATAAGTAATAGTCACTGAATGATTTGAGTAGCTTTCTCCATAACCATTCAAGTGTCATGAGGTCTAGGTCTCTATGTTTTGTCTTAAGCCCACTTCTTGGTTTGGGGAGGGGGGGGGGAGGGGAGGGGAGAGAGGGGGGGAGGGGAGGGGAGAGAGAGAGAAGAGAGAGAGAGAGAGAGAGAGAGAGAGAGAATATATTTAAAAAATTATAGAACATACGGGCAACTACCACTTAATAAGTGATAACTAAACAGTACTGGATTAGCATTAGTACGAAAGAGCAATCTTTTCTAGATCTGCTCCTGGAACTCTTACATAGATAACCCCTCATATCTTTGCCTTGGCAATTGAGTACTTTTACTGCATCGCCTTCCTACAATTGTGTACTAGGTATTTCAAGTAATTTATAGCTATAATTTATGTTTTTAAAGTTTCTGATATTTTCAAAGCCATTTTACAAATGAAACATCTGATCCACATAACATCATTTGTTATAAGGTAAAAGAGGAATGAAGAGGTTTTATGATGTACCTGAGTCACTAGAAATAAGTGTAACAAAGTGGCTGCTTCATAACTCTGAATCTGGGCCTCATGTCACCCCCTCATGACTTCATCATTTGTTTGGTTTTGGGCTTAGACTTACACTGGAAATTCTTTCTCACCGCATGTGTGATTTCTAAATATATTAGTTAAACATTCTGATTTTAGCTTCCTTGTTGGTAAATGGGAAGACACCTCCTTTACAAGTTTATTATGAGGATTCAATGAAATTACGTATATAAATTGAAAAACCTGGGGTATTGCAAATATTTAAATGTTGGCTTTTCCAATTCCCTCAGTGATATTTCACCTGAAGCTAGTTAATTCTTTTAGGTCTACAGAGAATATTTGAAGTCACTCTGTAATTCAGTGCTGGGCCAGGAGAGTAGAATATATTTGATATATCTGATATTGGATTTGTATCAGTAGGGTGACAAATCTTAATTTAATCAAGGATTTATTAATCATCAACAGTATCTCAGCACAGTGGTAAGTGCACAGATGCACAAATAAAATAGTAGCTGAGAATTTTGGCAATGAGAAGAACAAGACTTGCTGATAATTTCCTCGAAAACAAATTCTAAGAAGGGCTAGTCTGCCAAGTTTAATGGAAATCTTTGTAAATTCTCCAAAATAATTTCGAATTGAATAAAAGACTTAAACACTAATGAATATTTTAGTTTATTTTAAAATGGCCAATTCTACCAAGTCCAAACCTCACTATAGAATGTGATACTGTCCAACATACATTATTCTATGGAGTGAGGGAGGGGTATGGAAAAGTAAGTCTCACAGAGAACCTAGGAATGAAAGATTAACTCATGTGTTATAAGTTTTTCCTTAGTTTCTATTACTTAAATTACCTAGTTTATAAAATATCCTAGGGTAGCAGTAGCCTTTTGGTATTTTCATCTTTCTCCTTCAATGTCTAGGAACAGAAATACTTACTGATTTGAATTTTAGCATCAGAGTGATACCGTTAAAAAAAAACAAAAACTTATAACCCCTTCCCATTGGATTAGCCCAGAAGAAAAGTATATGCAGCCAACTAAAAACCTTCACATTGGGCCTCCCTGGTGGCACAAGGGGATAAGCACCACACTATGAAGCAATTGGTAGCCTCTGCAGCACAAGTTTGATCCCCGGCCGGCCAGGGAGCTACCCACATGGCACAACAGACCTCTCCTGTCTCATCCACTGCTCCCCTCAGCAGTGTATTTCAGTCAGTCTGCCTGTTCTGTTCCCCACTATGTCTCTGGTGAATCCTCTCACCCCCCACATCTCTGGCCTGTACCCCAAATGTTGTATGCATAAATAAATAAATCTTTAAAAAAACAAAAAAAATTCATATTAATGTTTTTAACGATTCTATCTAATTAGGTATCAATATAATTTGGCTTAAATTTTAATAATAGAGGAAAGTACATGTCATTATTATCTGTTGTGACCAGTCACTGGGAAGCTGCGTATAAGGCAACCTGTGGAGTGACTCGGTCTAGGACCTGGGTAAGACACTTCAATGTTCAGTCTTCCTCTTCTTACAATTTTAGGTACTGACCTGACATTTCAGGGTGATAGGGTTCCTAATTTTAGAGTGAGGATGATGCCATCTATTTTATATCACTATTGAGTAAAGTAGTTGAGGTGGAACATCACTAGGTAATAATTTTTGAGAATTTAATATATATCAGATACTAAGTCTTTTTTGTTAACTCATTTAAACTTTATAATAGCTCACAGAGATGGATGTGTAATTATACCTATTTCAGAGATAAGAAAATGAAGGCATAGAAAAAAAAAAATCCTTGCTTAGGTCACCCAGCTGGTGGTTGAGAAGAAACTCAAATTTAGGCAGTTTAATTCCAAAGTCTACGTTCTTAACCATTTCGCTTATGCCTCACTCCATCACAGATACTCATCACATGTCCATTTCCTGAGCCCCTGTTCTGCTATACAAAAATACAACAGATCTTGCCCTTCTAGAAATAAACAGTACACTGAGACACAGGGTATCTGCATAATGAGAGGAAAAGCAGCTCATGATCCAAGTTGTCAAAGCCACAGGAGAGACATAATCACAAATCCTGCAGAAGTTTGGAATATAGGAAATAATGGTGAAATCAATAAGATTTTATAATATCAGTGGAAACTGACTTATGCCTTGGAATATAAAGAGAATTAAAAACAGGAAAAAGGAGTTGGGAAAGTTATTTCAGATAGCAGGGACAGCCAGGTCAAAGGCTTTCTGTGTTTTGGAAAGGAAACTCAGTATCAGTGGAGAGGAAGATTTCCATATAGGATGGTCATGTCTTGCTATTTTGTAGAATGTCCAAAAGAGGAGAAAGGACTTTCTGCTGGAAAGCCACTGGGCCTTTCTGAATAGCTTTGCACACGCATGAACATGCTTAGTCTGCTAAGTAGTGCTTTTAATAAAGGCTGATGAGATAGCCAATGTGTGGTATGGATGGGAGAAGAGAAAGTTAAATCATGGATAGCAAGAGCTCACTAAAGTCCTCAGTACACATACCTACATTCAGACACTTCCCAATTACTCCAGGGATGATTATCTGGTTGGTGGGTATTCCATGGCCTCTCTTCACTTTCCAGCTGTCCTTTTGGCTTATTCCGTGCTTGTTAGCACCTGGGGATGGAGATAGATAAAAATGATTTTCCAATTAATCTTTTTTTCTTTGCTCTGTAGTAGTTTTGGTTAAAATTTTGTGTGAAGGAGAAGTGTAATAATCAGAACACTTCTTCCTTTTTAAAAAAATAGTACTTTTAATCCTTTATTAAATTATTTGCTAACAAAGGTCAGTGATCACATAATCCTAATTCTGGGATATGTTGATTCTCTTTGATCAGAGATGGATAAGTAAATTGGAGGCGCCCAATATATACTTTAAGATTATGCTCTTAGAATTTTGGTTCTAATCTGACTGCTGAAGTTTTTAGATGAAGAGTAGTTGAATGTAGTCTCCTTAAAAATGCTATATATAATGTGTACCTCCAGACTGGTCTTTAGCAGTCATTTCATGATTACCCGTATTAATCATTCTTACTTTTTGCTATTAGTTCAATATATTAAGCAATTGCTGCTGCTTCCTAAGTTGAGTGCAGAGTACCTGGAGACCTGAGAAATTTTCTAGTTACAATGTACATATTGGCTCTAAATTTTAAGTGTCATTTTTGAGAGACTAGAGAAAAGAAAGATAGGAAAATGGAATTGATTGCAATGAAACAATGCCAATTTTTTTAAAAGCAGCATTAGCATTTCATTGTTACTTCCAATTACTATAAAAGTGTATATGATATCTAAATAGATTGTAGATGACCAATTCACATGCATCATTATCGTTAATACACATTAATGATACACATAAAGATTATTTCAGTCCAAAGTGGTAGGAGTATCTATCTTACTTGGGTCCACTGTAAGCAAATATATTTAGGGTACACAGACCCATGCACTTGTGCACACCTGTGCACACAAACACACCCTTTTCAGTCTCTAAAAATTTATACATAAAGTTTATTTTTGCTCTTTCAAATATAGGTTCATACCTCTTCAGATGTTTGTTATGTCCACGACCAAAGCATTAAAGCCCACTATATTGACTGGACCTCCCCGCCTACTTGCTCCCTTCCCCCACTGGGAGCTTTAATTCTACAATCATATTCCTAGGGTTTGTCTTAATTTTCCTTTTTCTTTTTTTAAAGATTTATTTATCTATGCATAAAAGAGCTGGGGTACAGGCCAGAGATGCAGGGGGTGGGGACTCACCAGAGACAGAGTGTTCACCAGAGAGAACAGAACAGGCAGGCAGACTGAAATACACTGCTGAGGGGAGCAGCAGGCAAGAGAGGAGAGGCCTGCTGCACCATGTGGGTAGCTCCCTGGCCAGCCAGGGATTGAACTCCTGCTGTAAAGGTTGTGGATTGCTTCATAGTGTGGTGTTTAACCCCTTGTGCCACCAGGGAGGCCTGGGTTTGTCTTAATTTTCATGTTCCTTTATTTTGTTTCCCTATATGTCACATGAATGAAATCACCTAGTATTTGGCTTTCTCTTGACTTATTTCACTTAGCATAAACCCCTCCATTCGTGTTGCTGCAAATGGTAAGATTTTATTTTTTTAATAACTGAGTAGTATCCCATACTTTGGCTATTGTAAATAGTGCGGCAATGAGCCTAGGTGTGCTTACAGCCCTTTGTATTAGTGTTTTTGCAACTTTCAGGTGGATACTAGGATATACCTGGATGATAAAGCAGATCTAGTCTTTAAACATAATATTTTTAAGTAAAAATTTATACTTTTGGCTAATAGCCAGCTACAAAAGTTATATCTTTTCTCTAATTAACACACCTTTATACATTATTTCCAGTTCTTTTACTTTTAATTCCTTAACTTTTCATAGTCCCAATAATGCCCAAATACTTTTAGAGAAATCAGAGAATAGAATAAGGTGCAAAAAGTTACTTTAGGATATGGCACACTTGATAGCACCCATCCATTAGCCCCAACACTGGCTCCATTCCTTGTGAGTTCTTGGCAAGTTCATAGCCTGCAGACCTCCATGCAAAACAAAGACTCACTACTCTGCCTCTCAATTTGTTTGATAAACTAGAATTACTTCTAAAGTTCCCAAATAAATAGAAATAATTATAATTATGAATAATTAAAATGCTGAACTCAAGAGGGCACTCAACATTCATTACACTATAGAACTCATCTCCTAAGGGTAATGCCTTCAATTAGTTTTGACTACAGAAGAAAAATGTGATAATCAGTAATTGCAGGTATTTAGTACAAAGAACAAAACACTCACTGGACTTCAAATCACCCTTTTGTAGTCAGCAGAGGTACTGCTCTCTTTAGACTCTTGACACTTATATTTATTCCAGAACATAGAAAAGCAATACAAAACGATAATGTTTTCAAAGCTGTAAGTAGATGTATTTCAACTTATCAGCCTTTCTAATTGAGTAGGTTATTTAGTAGGTTATAACAATAGATGACTTTTAAAGAGAATATTTTAAAAGATAATCTATAAAGTTTATCAATATATTATTCATTTAATTTACAAATTTTTATTAAGCACTTAGTATGCATCAGGTTTTAAGCTAAAAGATAGTTACATAGTGCAGTATAAGAACTAGCCAGTGGTTATTTTTGAAACATATACAAGTTTACATATACAAGTTTGAATATACCAATGTATTTGTATATTCCTACAAATATAGTGTAGTGTCTATATTTGTAGGTTATAAAATGAGCTTTTCAAATTGTTGTTCCTCTCTATTCTTAAAGTTGTAATAAATTAAATTCAAAACTTAAATCATATAATTTAAATGTTTCATCAGAGGCTCCTCGATTTAAAAAAAAAAAGCCACAAAACATATCCATTTTCTTTCACAGTAACATGTGCTATTGCAACTATTACAGTAACATGTGCTATTGCAACTATTTCTTGGGTGGTTATTGAACAAAAACATAATCAGTTTGAAATAATTTGGCAAATGGTAAGTATACTTTTGAATCAAAGAGGGTATACTAAAGGAGATTTTTTTTTTTTTGTGGTTCTGATTCAACCTTAACCTAAGAAACAGTTATATTTTACTACCCACTTTGGGGGATACATTTTATCTTCTATTTAAGTGGAGGAAAGAATTCATTAGAAATATGGTATAAGTGATTTCAGAATGATAAATCTCAAGTTACCAATTCCACTTTTAATGATTAGTTGCTTGAGTCATGTATTTAATTAAAATCGTTATTTTAAATGCTTATATTTAATTTAAACATAATTAACTAAACCTCAGTGTTACTGCCTCATCCATTTTGAAATTCATTAATTTATAAAATAGCTCAAAAAAGTGTGATAAAATTCTAATTTTCAAATAAATCAGGATCAGTTTGCATTTTTTGTTGGCTTCAGTTGTGATCTCACAGTGAGCTGTTCACATTAGGTGTCACCATGGTGTTTCTGACACAGCTAACATGGAGTTGTCAAATACTGACAATGTCATTGATGTTTTCTTTATATATATGATGTCATTTTGACCTCCTAGGCAATAATAGTCTATAGTTAAGGATGCGATTGCTTAAACTTTAAAGGGATCTAAATTTTATATATTAAAATTCAACTTTCATATATTTAGCAGGTGATTCATAAGTACATAGCAATCAGTATAATAAAATTTTCTTAGAGTCAATCTGGTAATGTAAACAGAAAGTATCTTTAAGGAAATGTTCTGATTTAAATGTCTATCTAAATAAACAACATGGTCCGTATACACAGAAACTAAGAGAGTGGGAAGTAATATAAAACATTTTTCCTAGTCTACACAATTTGAGGATTCTTTGACAATAGGATTCTCTGACAATTGAGGATTCATTGACAATAACTACCTGGTGTGGATTTCCTCGTGCAATGAGAAACTACACCTATAAATATTCTACAATCCTGAGGTGCTTGGTGGGCAAGGCTGCTAAAGTGTGCATGTTTGCCTATTAGTGATATTGCTACCGTTTATTAGGTACTAAAATATACTAGGCACTGAACTAAATGTCTAATGAAGTAATATGATTAGGTCCATTTTATATTAACAAGGTGAGGCTTGGAGGAGGTGAGAACATTTGCCCAGGTTCTTATAATTAGCTAGTGTTGAAGAAGACAGGATTTGAAGACTCACTCCACAGCTCTGCACCTTACTGTCCCCAATTCTCCACCAGAGATCCAAGGAAGGCATTTTCAATTCTGAAATGCTTACAATCACCACCACCAAGTATTTCTCCCTTGCAATTGTAGTACATTAATAAATTGGTGAAGGAACACATTTGGCCACACTATTAGTACCCTCTTGTAAGAATATATGCTGAATTTTCAAATATTTTATTAAAACCTGTGCCTCCTACTCGCCAAGGAACCCTTGTAGTTGGGTAAATCTTTCCCTTCCATTCTCTCACATGAGCATAAACCATTTGCATCCCCTTCCACACTTCAGGAATTTTAATTCTGAGCAAGCTATAAAATCAGATTCAGTTTACACATCAAGTGAACTTGTGTAGAATATTTCTCTTCTTTCCACACTAGCACTATTATGTGGTATTCCAGGATGCCTTTAAGCTATACTGTATCTCAATTACCTCAACTGCCATCTGTTTCTGTTTCTTTCAGTCCTTTCCCAGGTTCCCTAAACAATGAATGATATTCCCACTCAAGAGCTAGACTTAGGTGCATTCTCTGCAAAAAAAACTGGGTCACACATATAAATATCCCTCTTATTTAGATGAAAATATTAGCTAGTGATCAAAGTTAATTATCCATTGATTTTAACATTTCAGTACCAAACATTATCATAACTCTGGACACCCTTAGCAAGTCAGAAGGTTTGGAACCATGGCAAGTTGATGGTAAGGGAGAGTACTATTTGTGCAATAAGCAGGAATAGACACATGGGCACATCTGCTTCGTTAATCTTGCTAAGGCCTTTAAATACCATCTGTTTTCAATTTTTTTCTGGCTACCATCTTCCCCAAGGCTAAAAGATTTTAAAATGACTGGAGGGAGAAAAAACTTGAGAAACTAGTTTGAGATTTTAATTCTGTATTTCATCTGCCAGACAGTGAAATGCAGTTAGC